AGATAGTGGTACAGGTGGCAGGAGAGGCCGGTAAAGTCTTGTAGCTACTGTGTGTGTGTGTGTTGTGTATATATATATATATATATATATATATATATAATATATATATATATATATATATATATATATATAATATATATAATATATATATATATATATAACTGATGGACATGGAGCGTCGAGGTAGGCCGCACGGCGCTGAGATTGTGGCAGTATATCCCTGCGTGTTGGCACAGTAGTTCTACTGGCGGAAAATACGAAGTGTCAATGAAAGCAGACTTGCGTTCACTTAGCCTTACCCGTGGGTCGAGTTAAAGTTGATTTATAGACCCGCAGAGAGTTTGAATAAATAGGGTAAAAATCAGAATAGTGATTATGAAGATGTGGCGTTCCGCAGGATTATTGTTAGTTGCTGTGTGTTTTTCATAGTCAGTGTAAAGTGATGGAGAACTTCACCGTGAAAGACGTGAAAAGACTTTAAGAAATCCGCTTATTTAGAGATTTGAAGGTAAGGCAACTTGGCACGTGTTCATAATACTCGTGTGCAAGACTTCACATTTTGAAGTATGTATTAGTGTTTACCTGGAGTTTACCTGGAGAGAGTTCCGGGGGTGTGAACAAAGTAACATTTATGAAGGGAGTCAGATAAACAGCTGAACTCCATGAAACCGAATTCAACACCATAAGCCTTTATTATAACGTTCCAATCAAGGGAAGCTTAATCACCTTGAGCGAAAAATGCTTATAATGGAATTTAGTGCCTGCACTCTGGGGATGTTGCAGTTCTCGAGGTGGGAAGTATAGTGTCTGCACTCTGGGGATGTTGCAGTTCTGGAGGTAGGAAGCACAGTGCCTCCACTCTGGGGGCGTTGCAGTTCTATAGATTATTTGGAGTGTGATATCCTCGCTTTGCTAGCAAGACAGCTATGGGTGAGTGAATATATTGTAATCGATTTGCATGGAAGGAAAGACAAGTAAAACTTTTCTCTGCATTTCAACCTCGCTTTGGGACCCTCTTCAGCTCTGGAAATATTTAGTATCCCAGGAACAAATTTGTATTCAGTGTCGCATCTTGTAATTGTTGCGTTCTGGCGTATTTGAATTCCCCTGAAATTATAACTGTCAAGTTCTTGGGCTGCAAACTTTTGGAGTCGGGAGCTGGTGGACTCAGACCTTGCTAGTGTGAACCTGCGTTGCAATTTTGGCTTCTGCTTCTGTGGGTAGCATTTAGCTCACAGCCGAGAGACCCGGATTAGATCTTGGGCCGGGTGGAGACGTGAACATTTTTCGTTACGCAGATGTTGTCCCTATTCACCTAGCAGTAATGGGGGCGGTCATCCTTGGAATCAAATAAGGTAATCATGTCGTATTGACAGGTTATGTTATGGTGGGCACCAACAGCCTGGCCGATCAGCAAAGTAACCCGTAGGTCTGGTCTGGGACCGGGCTGGGGGAGGTGGAGATATTATCAATGATCCCCGGAAGCGAATACATGTAACGTTTTGTGATTCTTTATGGTGATTTTCTGTTCAAGGTGGTGCCTTGATCCAAAGAATTGAAGATATCCCTCCCCTTCCTCAGATCAGACTTGATTGCCTCGCGCTCCCCAAGCGCTGTGACTCCTTCGGGTTTAGCGCCTCCACATGTACGTATAATAATTTAGATGTCTTAGCAGTGCCGTTGTGAAGTGGACAGTAGCTGGTGACTCACGTTGTGTTGTGGAGACAAGAGCAGCGTGTTCCAGTCTTATTCCATCACCCAGGATGAGTTGCATCATCGATGTAGCCTCTGGGGGAGACACCTCGGAGAGGGAGGGTAGGATGACCATCCTGGGGTGGGGAGGGCAGAGGGTCCGCCACACTAGGGAATAAAAACACGTGAGGGAGGGAGGGTAGAGACTTCATAAACTGCCAAGTCCTGGACCATAACAGGGGAGACACGGGCTACTGCCGCCTTCTCTAATGAATACTTATGTTCAACATTTCCCTTTTCTTTCTTTCTTTCATTCTTTCTTTCTTTCTTTCTTTCTTTCTTTTTCTTTCTTTCTTTCCTTTCTTTTCTTTTCTTTCTTTCTTTTCTTTCTTTCTTTCTTTCTTTTTCTTGTCTTTCTTCTTTTTTCTGTCTCTTTCTGTTCTTCTTCTTCTCTCTCTTCTCTCTCTCTCTCTCTCTCTCTCCTCTCTCTCTCTTTTCTCCTCTCCTTTCTTTCTTTCTTTCTTTCTTTCTTTTCTTCTTCTTTCTTGTCTTCTCTTCTCTTTCTCTTCTCTTTCTCTTCTTTCTTCTTTCTTCCTTTCTTTTTCTCTTCTCTCTCTCTCCTCTCTCTCTCTCCTCTCTCTCTCTCTCTCCTCCTCTCTCCTCTCTCATCTCCTCTCTCTCTCTCTCCCTCTCTCTCTCTTTACACAGGGTTTGACAAGGTTAAGGATCCCTAGCTTTATTGACAAGCTATTTACAGGTTAAGGATTCCTAACTTTATTGCAAGCTAAGAGCTGTTACCTACATCAGCTCATTTGAAAGCATTTTTATTGTTATGAGACATACAAGTAGGGAACAGGATGAAGTTGGAGCCATCTGTGGGCCAGCATTTTCATTTGATCAACTGACTTTATCTCGTTGACATCATTATGCTGTACGAATGTGTTCCATACTCGAGTCATCCTGGGTATGTATGATCTCAGATGGAGTGATGTTCTGGAGAAGGGTACAGCCAGAGTGAACTGCTGCTTTCTGCCCGTCTTGTGGCATAAAAGCTTGTTTCACGCTGTCCTCGAAGTGGATCCAAGTGTGGTACTTTGACAATATTGGCCTTGTACATAACAGTAAGGCCACTCACATCCCTCCTGTGTTGAAGGCTCTGCTGAAATGACAGATCTATCCAGGATGGGTCCAGGCGAAAGATGAGACGTCTTGCTCTATTCTCTACTCTGTCAAGCAGTCGCTTGACAGAGTAGAGAACAGTCCTCTCTCTCTCTCTCTCTCTTCTCTCTCCTCTCTCTCTCTCTCTCTCTCTCTCTCTCTCTCCCCTCTCCTCTCTCTCTCTCTCTCTCTCTCTCTCTCTCTCTCTCTCTCTCTCTTCCCCTAATCCTTCCCCTTTTATGGATGGAGGGGTAGAAATGTGGTGATAGAAGAGGCAGCTGTCGTGTCCCTCCCACTGAGGGACTGATCTACCTACCTGGAGTCTACCTGGAGGGTGTTCCGGGGGTCAACGCCCCCGTAGCCTGGTCCATGACCATGCCTCGCGGTGGATCAGGACCTGATACTTGTCAGTTCAACACATTTGTCACGTACATCAGTGGACGATTTGTTTTAAATAAATGATATAAACAACATATTGAGTCTTATTCACATATTGTTATCAGTTCAACGCAGTTGTCAGTTCAACGCAGTTGTCAGCTCAACACACTTGTCAGTTCAACACACTTGTCAGTTCAACACACTTGTCAGTTCAACACAGTTGTCAGTTCAACACACTTGTCAGTTCAACACACTTGTCAGTTCAACACACTTGTCAGTTCGACGCAGTTGTCAGTTCAACGCAGTTGTCAGTTCAACACAGTTGTCAGTTCAACGCAGTTGTCAGTTCAACACAGTTGTCAGTTCAACACAGTTGTCAGTTCAACACAGTTGTCAGTTCAACGCAGTTGTCAGTTCAACGCAGTTGTCAGTTCATCACAGTTGTCAGTTCATCACAGTTGTCAGTTCAACACAGTTGTCAGTTCAACACAGTTGTCAGTTCAACACAGTTGTCAGTTCAACACAGTTGTCAGTTCAACACAGTTGTCAGTTCAACGCAGTTGTCAGTTCAACGCAGTTGTCAGTTCATCACAGTTGTCAGTTCAACACAGTTGTCAGTTCAACGCAGTTGTCAGTTCAACACAGTTGTCAATTCAACACAGTTGTCAGTTCAACACAGTTGTCAGTTCGACGCAGTTGTCAGTTCAACGCAGTTGTCAGTTCAACACAGTTGTCAGTTCAACGCAGTTGTCAGTTCAACGCAGTTGTCAGTTCAACACAGTTGTCAATTCAACACAGTTGTCAATTCAACACAGTTGTCAGTCCAACACAGTTGTCAGTTCAACACAGTTGTCAGTCCAACACAGTTGTCAGTTCAACACAGTTGTCAGTCCAACACAGTTGTCAATTCAACACAGTTGTCAGTCCAACACAGTTGTCAATTCAACACAGTTGTCAGTCCAACACAGTTGTCAGTTCAGGCTCATGGTGCTAGCCGCATTAAGGCTAATATAAGTCCCACAACCTGGCTAATTAGGGACTAACTTGAGAAATTTGTCCAATTCTAGCTTGAAGACAGCCAGAGGTTTGTTGATAATCCTCTTAAGTATAAAGGGAAGAGAGTGAAAGGTCTTAGTTCATTCACAGTTGTTTAGTTTTTCCCTTCTTGTACTTATTACATCCCTGCTTTTCAATGGGGTATTCAGCACCGTTTGCCAAGTCACTTACTTTCCCAAGAAATGATTTGTGTGTGCCGATTTGGAACCAGTTCTTCTAGAATGTTAAAGGTGTAGATTATAATGTATCTCTCTCGCCTACGTTCCAAGGAGTAATGAAAGATCTTGTACAGTCTCCAGGTTTGCAATTTCCTCAGTCTTCAAGGGTCTTTAAGTTCTTAACTTAAATTTTATACATCACTGTCACTACTCACATATTTTTCATTGGCAGCATCTCCATTAATTAGATGTAAAATTATTATCCGTAAACGTGCTTGATTGTCCAAATGTGGAACATTATCTGATCACAGCATGGTTACTATGTCGGCTCGACATTGTTACTGTGTCAGTTCGGCATTGTTACTATGTCATCTGGACACTGTTGTGTCCAGATGACATAGTAACAATGTCGCAAGGTGGTATGCGACTTCGGGGAGGGGGATGGAGAGAGAGAGAGAGAGAGAGAGAGAGAGAGAGAGAGAGAGAGAGAGAGAGAGAGAGAGAGAGAGCGATCAATAACTTTGTTGACCTCTAAGGCCACATCGTGGGCGAAGGGGGATGGATGAGTCGTTCAAAAAGGTCATTATGATCCAGGCAAAAGTAGTGGTGGTTAAAGTAGTGGTGGTTAAAGTAGTGGCGGTTAAAGTAGTGGCGGTTAAAGTAGTGGCGGTTAAAGTAGTGGCGGTTAAAGTAGTGGTGGTTAAAGTAGTGGTAGTTAAAGTAGTGGCGGTTAAAGTAGTGGTGGTTGAGCAGTGGTAGTTGTGGATATTGTTGAGCTGTGGTGGTTAAGTAGTGATTGGAGGTAGTTTATTTGTTTATAATGAATTGATGGTGGCAGTAAGAATTCTCCGGACATTGTCTAGATTTACAATTTGGCTTGCTGTCAGTGTGCTTGTTAGTGTAGTCTGCAGAGCAGTACTGAAGTCTTGTAAGTATCCGTACCTTTGGGAAAATAATAGCATTAGCTTGGCATTTCTTGTGAACAGTTGTAACAGTAATATTAATGCATTGATTGAGGGTAACATATTCCAACAAGGTAATCCGCTGGTACTTTACATTCATCTTCTCAATCAAATGGTTGGATTACGAGCTGTACTCTGTTACACGTACTCTGTCAGTGTTATATACTGTTTTTGTGGACAGTATATAACATTGACACATGTGAAGTGGATATTAAACATGTAAGAA